TATTTATATTCCCTTATATCCACAATGTGAAATAGGGAGCTATGTTTTACGAATATTATACTTCAAATAGGCATTTCTGAATCTGATATTGTATGAACCAATCAGGAAAATCCCCAATTCTATAATTAGATTACAGAACAAGATCCAATAGCATGTTGTTGAGTATGAAATATTATTTCTGTAAAATTGTTGTTTGAATTTATTTATATTTCTTGTACAAAAGAACATAACTCTGTTATTTACAAAACGATATAGTTTTTGATAACGTACCCTGATGCTTTCCAGAATTCTTTTAGGGGGTGAAAATTAAATTAATGCAAAAATGATCCTAGTGATTAAAAGTACATAAAATCATATGCTACAGGCTAACTTTTGAAGTAAGTTGCCACATGGGCAAAGGCCATTTTTATACACCCACATGAATATGTGGTCGTATATTGTCGTCGCCCCTGTCCGTCGGTCCGTCCGTCAACATTTCTTGTGAGCACTATAAAGACTACAGTTTTTATCTGATTTTGATAAAACTTGGTGTGATGCTTTAGATTGATAAGATCTCGGTCAAGTTCGAATTTGACATATTTTCGATGAACGGTTTTTGAGATATTGCCCTTGACTTAGAACGCCTTGAAATTTGTTAAAAATAGTTCGTGAGCAGGATTGAAGCTACAGTTTTCAACCGATTCTGATGAAACTTGGTGTGATCATTGGTATTGAAAAGATCTCGGACAAGTTTTAACTTGACGCATTTTCGATGAACGGTTTTTGAGTTATTGCCCTTGACTTTGTTAAAACGCGTCGAAATTTGTTAAAAATAGTTCGTGAGCAGGATTGAAGCTACAGTTTTCAATGAACGGTTTTTATACGCCCACATGAATATGTGGTCGTATATTGTCGTCGCCCCTGTCCGTCGGTCAACATTTCTTGTGAGCACTATAAAGACTACAGTTTTTATCTGATTTTGATAAAACTTGGTGTGATGCTTTAGATTGATAAGATCTCGGTCAAGTTCGAATTTGACATATTTTCGATGAACGGTTTTTGAGATATTGCCCTTGACTTAGAACGCCTTGAAATTTGTTAAAAATAGTTCGTGAGCAGGATTGAAGCTACAGTTTTCAT